CATATTTGTATGTGGCACCCTCTAGTGCCCAGAAGCTCTATTCACTGGAGCTGCTCAGCCCCTGGAGTGATGTTGGGGTTTGCACGGAAGTGGTGTTGGTGCCTGGGGGGAAGAAAGAGCTATTTCCTGCTTCCTGGCTGTTGTGCCTGTCTTCACTGCCTGAACCGGTGGGCTGAACACACAGGTGTAAGCCTCTATGCTTTGCATTTGTAGCTGCCATAGGCGGGGCTTCCTTCTGGCTGGCCTGACACCAGGGCAGGGGATGCCAGTTTGTTAGCCATGTGCGGGCTGGCTGGAAGGCGTAGCATGCTGCATATCACTGAGCAGGGCCTTGGAGCTGTGTAGCCAGCCAGGGGCATGGAGTGCCTGAAAGTTCCTAACCTGCTGGGCAGAGTGCACCTGGAAAATGTTGTCTAACTGTCCTTTCTCCTGAACAGTAAGGTCTATGCTGTCCTTGTCCCTTTAGCAGCCTTCTCACTTTTAGGAAGTCTCTCACACTGCCCACCTTTCTTTTGTCCAAAAGAAGCCAGATATGGATCCATTTTCCACAAGCAGCTGGAATCTCAGTCTCTCCAAGTATTCCACCTGTCTTAGCTTTCCAACCCCACTAATCTCTAAAGCTTCATGCAATGTAGGTTTGTGCTCCCAGAGCAGATAGCTAGGGCTATGTGTTCAATAGTCTCATGCCTCCACTCCCTACCTGCTCTATTTCTCTTCCTCCCACTGGTGACCTGGGGTGGGGGAAAGGCTTGAGTCCCACCACATGGCTTTGGTATGTTACCCTGTTCTGTGAGGTCTGTTCTTTTCTCCAGGTGTATGCAGTCTGGGGCATCCTTCCTTCCTGTTGCTCTTTCAGGATTAATTGTATTAATTATATTTTCATATTATATGTGGTTTTGGGAGGCCTCTGTCTCTCTTCTCATGCCACCATCTTTAATCCCCTCTCTACCACCATGGGTTCGTATATGACATCCTACATATAAAGCAATCTATATATGATAAAAATTGATGGTGACTTATGTTTGAACATATTCTAACACTACATTTTTTACTCCCCCTCCTATACATTTTATGTATACCATGCCTTCTTTCACACCTTTTTATTTAGTGACTTCCTTAAGTAATTTTTAGATGTAGTTGATTATACTACTTTGGTCTTTTTGACCTCTATACTTTTAGTGACAGATCTACTACCTCTGTCATATGTTTACTTTTACCCATAAAAGTTTTGCTTTCATATTTTTCTTGCCTCTTCTTAGGGTCTTTCCTTTTCCTCTTAAAAAACCCTTTAACATTTCTTGTAAGCATGTTTTAGTGGTGTTGAACTCTTTTAACTTAAGCTTATCTGTTAAGCTCTTTATCTTCCCTTCCCATCTGAATAACCTTCCTGGGTAGAGTATTGTCTGAGGTTTTATTTCTTTCAACACTTTGCATATATACCCCTTGTTTCTGGCCTGTAGAGTTTTTGCTGAAAATCAGCTGATAGCCCTATGTCCTTTCCCTTACAATTGCCTTTCTCTTGCTCCTTTTAAGATTCTCTTTGTGTTTGATCTTTGACATTTTAATTATGTGTCTTGGTGCAGACCTCTGGTTTTGTTTAGGACTCTCTCTGCTTCCTGGACCTGGATGTGTTACCTTCCCTAGGTTAGGGAAGTTTTCATCTATTATTTCAAGTAAGGTTTCCACTCCTTTGTCTCTCTCCTCCTTCTCAGAATCCTATAATGTCAATATTTGATATTTTCCCAGAGCTCCCTTGATCTATTGTCATGTCTATTTTCTTTCTGTTCAACTTGAGTGCTTTCCATCACTTTGTCTTCCAAATCACTAATCTATTCTTTTGTATCCTCTAATCTGCTTTTTCCTCTACTATATTTTTTCATTTATTATATTCTTCATTTGATTGATTTATATTGGGGGCGGAGCCAGGATGGCGGCGTGAGTAGAGCAGCGGAACTCTCCTCCTAAAACCACATAGAATTATGAAAATTTAACAAAGACAACTCTTCCTAAAATAGAGACCAGAGGACACAGGACAACATCCAGACCACATCCACACCTGCGTGAACCCAGCGCCTCACGAAGGGGGTAAGATACAAGCCCCGGCCCGGCGGGACCTGAGCGCCCCTCCCCCCGGCTCCTGGTGGGTGGAAAGAAACCGGAGCGGTTTTTTTTTTCTTTTTTGGCGAGTGCTTTCTGGAAGCCTTAAAGGGACAGGGACTCCAATACTAGGGAAACGGGGCAGCAAGACCGGTGAGCGGGTGCCTGAGACCGGCGCCTGAGAACAAAGAAAATCGCGCGTTTTTCCCTTTTTTTTTGGCGAGTGCTTTTTGGAAGCCTTAAGGGGACAGGGACTCCAATACTAGGGAAACAGGGCAGCAAGACCGGTGAGCAGGTGCCTGAGACTGGCGCCTGAGGACAAAGAAAATCACGCATTTTTCCCTTTTTTTTTTTTCCTCTTTCGTTGTTGCTGTTGTTGTTTTGGAGAGTGCTTTTTGGAAGCCTTAAACTGGCAGGACAGGACACTTAGCCCAGAGGCAGGGAATCTGGGGATCTCTGGGCACTCTAACCCCCTGGGCAACACACACGGAGGCCCCTTACGGAGATAAACAGCCTCCCGGCCGCTCCCCCTCCAACGGGGCTCCACCATTTTGGAGGAGCAGCCCCAGCCAGGCCACGCCCACAGCAACAGCGGAGATAAACTCCAAACCAACCGGGCAGGTAGCTGAAGCCCTGTCTGCGTACAGCTGCCAAGTATAAGCCACTAGAGGTCACTATTCTCCCAGGAGAGGAAGGCCACAAACCAACAAGAAGGAAAGCTCTTACAGCTGTCACTCATACCAGCTCTGCAAACTATCTCTATCACCATGAAAAGGCAAAACTACAGGCAGACAAAGATCACAGAGACAACACCTGAGAAGGAGACAGACCTAACCAGTCCTCCTGAAAAAGAATTCAAAATAAAAATCATGAACATGCTGACAGAGATGCAGAGAAAAATGCAAGAGCAATGGGATGAGATGCAGAGAAAAATGCAAGAGCAGTGGGATGAAGTCCGGAAGGAGATCACAGATGTCAGGAAAGAGATCACAGAAGTGAAACAATCCCTGGAAGGATTTATAAGCAGAATGGATAAGATGCAAGAGGCCATTGAAGGAATAGAAGCCAGAGAACAGGAACGTATAGAAGCTGACATAGAGAGAGATAAAAGGATCTCCAGGAATGAAACAACACTAAGAGAAATATGTGACCAATACAAAAGGAAAAACATTCGTATTATAGGGATACCAGAAGAGGAAGAAAGAGGAAAAGGGATAGAAAGTGTCTTTGAAGAAATAATTGCTGAAAACTTCCCCAAACTGGGGGAGGAAATAATCGAACAGACCATGGAATTACACAGAACCCCCAACAGAAAGGATCCAAGGAGGACAACACCAAGACACATAGTAATTAAAATGGCAAGGATCAAGGACAAGGAAAGAGTTTTAAAGGCAGCTAGAGAGAAAAAGGTCACCTATAAAGGAAAACCCATCAGGCTAACATCAGACTTCTCGACAGAAACCCTACAGGCCAGAAGAGAATGGCATGATATATTTAATGCAATGATTGATTTATATTTTCTGTCTCTTAATAAGGTTCTCATTGAGCTCCTCCACTGTTCTGTCTGGTGAGCAGCTTTATAATCATTAATTTGAATTCTATCAGTAGACTGCTTAACTCTTTTAGTTTTTTTCTTAAATTTTGTCATGTTACTTTTAAGCATAATCCCGTCTCTTCATTTTGGCTTAGTTTGATTCTGTCAATCAGTTGAAAGGGCTACCTCTCCCATTCTTGAGAGATTGGCCTTGTGGAAGGACAGTCCTGGGTATATTGCATATGCCTGGTGGTTTTGGCTAGCTGGCTGGAGGCCTAGTGAGCATAAACCATGCTTGTTCTGGTGTCAGGGCTGTCAGGGCATGGTTGGAGGGGCAGCACAGTTGGAGGGGTCTATTCTGAGGGCTTCCTTAATGGGTACCAATGAGATCCACACTGACAGGGAACAAATGGGCCTAGGCAGGGTGTCCAGGAAAACCCTGCCTCCACAGCTACTGGTTCTGCACTTACACTACAGCTTAGGTAGACTCTCCAGGATGGAGTGGCTGACTTCACATTCACAATGTACACCCAGGCATGGCCCCCAGCAAAGCCCCACCTCTGTGACCACTACCTCCATGCTCACAGTGCAGCAGTGTCCCAGACACGCTATGCTCTGCACCCACAGTGCAGTTTCAGGCCTATACCCAGGCCCCAGTGTAGCCCCTGAACCCGTGGCCACTGTCTCCCAGTCGAAGTCTGTGATGCAGCAGCTCAGGCATGCAGCAATACTTGGATCCAGGGAAGCCCAACTTCCATAGCTACTTCCATTGGCACCTGTGTAGGAGTGGCCAGGGTATGCTCACCAGGGTTCAGCAATGACTGGCTCTATGCTCTCCAGGCAGCTGAGGCCTGAATGCACTCTCCAGCTAACATCTGGGTGTGGGCAGGAGATGGGAAACCACCTAGACCAAATTGAAATGGTGTGCACTCCAAACCTGCTTGCCACATCACTATTAATGTGGAGTGCAAACAATGGTGTTTTCCCGACCTCCAATTGGAGAGTCCAGCTGTTCTACTGTTCCCCTGCCAATAGTGGGTGCTTTAGGTCTGTAAATCGGATTTTTTCATTTACAGTCTAGATAGACTTTAAAGTGTGACTTTTTGTCTATGCCCCAGGGCAGGAAATGTTTCCAGGTCCTTAAGCAATATCCGTCACCTCTGCATGTCACTGCACTGGGGATTAGGTTCCCTCCATTACTGTCTCTCTTGCCATTTTTACATGATCTTTCTACCCCTCATTGTGTAGAAGAGGCTCACTCAGTCCTTAGTTCATCAAGGTGAACTGCTGTGTGTAGGTGTAGATTGGGTGTGAAGGTGGGAGGAAGTGGGTTCAAGCTCTCTATAAACCACATCTTCCCACAACTTGAAAGATGAAAATTTTAATAACAGTAACATTACTTTCTCCCAATTTTATACATTTTTCTTTCATTGCCATATAACTTCAAATAGCAGTTATATTTTTCTTAACCAACTTCAGAAAACATCTCCACTCCTTTCAAATGATCAGTTCTACTATTACTTTGGTAGTTTGTCTTTCTATGTATTTGCCTATGTCATTTGACATAAAATTGCTCATAGTATTTATAATAATCCTCTTTTTTCTGTAGTCAGTAAAAGTTCCCTCTTTCCTTTCAGATTCTAATTTGAGTATTTTTTCACTAGGTCACTCTAGTTTTGTCAATTTCGTCACTAGGTCACAAAAGTTTGTCAATTTTGTTGATCAGTTCAAATAACCAACTTTTGGTTTCATTGATTTTTCTGTTATCTATTTTAATTCCTGCTCTAATTCTTATTTCACTCTATCTGCTTGCTTTCCACTGTTTGCTCTTCTTTTTCCAATCTTAGGTGAAAGTTTGGATTGTTGATTTGTGATCTTTTATAATATAGACAGTAGAAGCTATCCTTATCTTCTATGTACTGCTTTAGCTATATCCCATCATGTTTTGGTCAGTCCTCATTTTCATTCATCTCAATGTATTTTCTATTTTTCTTGTGATTTACTCTTTGATACATTGGTTATTTAGGAATGTGATGTTTAAATTCCACATATTTGTATACTCTCTAAAATTGCTTGTTATTTTTCATTGTGATCATTTTACATGATTTTAACCTTTTTAAATTTATTGAGGCTAATTTTATGACCTAACATATGGCATATTCTGAAGAATGCTCCATGTGCTCTTAAAAGTAAAGTAAGCATGTCTGGATACACGTGGGATAAAGTGAAAACAATCCTCAGGCAGCTTGATTCCTTGCCTCAAAGCAGCATTAAGCCTACCAACTAGGGTTTAAATTGGGTTTTAAACACAGGAGAGGTGACATATCACTACACGTGTTAGAAGTAGCCTGAGGTTAGCTAGAAACAATACTTACTAATCTTTTTACATAAAGACATACAAAAAATGTTAATATTCACAAAGCATACTTTAGTAAACAAAAGAGGCTCTTTATGGAGCACTGTCTCTTTCAGGCAACAGCACAACACAAAGAGATGAAAGAAACAAATAACTAAGCACATTCATAACTAGTGACCTAAGTCAGGTTGCTTGTTGTCCAGATATACAATTAGTCTTCTCACTTTTTTAAAAAGTCTCCTGGCTTGGATAAAGGATTATGATTACACTGTCCATGGACCGACCACTCAACACCAGGCACTATTACTGGGTTGGGAAGCTCTGAGCTACAGCACTACCCCCACACCAAATTGTTTTCAACCCTTGGCTCACATTATCTGAGAACTTTAAAAAAACACCAGTGCCCAGTTCTACCCTGTATATCATGGCCTAGGCAACTGCACGTTTAAAAGCTCTAGGGTTGATTCTATTAGGCAAGGGTGAGAATCACCGCACCTAGCTCAAACATAGCACCCATGATGCAGTAGCCTATCACTCTACTTTCCTCAGTCTAAGGAACTTAGTAACTGGAGAGAAACAAACTCTTCAGTCTGTCCATTTATACCTACTCCTCTTGTGCTCCACCCAAAACCAGTTTCTCTCCAACACTTTAGCGGCCAACCTTTGTTACCAGCCTCCACTACTCATAACTGGTCAGACCTGCATGTTTCTACTTCTCATCTGATTTGGTTTGTTCATATTGGCACCAATGAGCACCTATGGATCCCTACACCTACCTCCTGTCTTCAAAAAGATACCTAGAAATTGTTGCTCTATATATGATACTGTTTTTTGTTTCCTTATGTTGCTATTTGTCTATTCGTTTTGCATTCCTTTATAGTCATGTTAATAATACTCTAACAGGAAAAGTACAACTTGGTACAACTTGGTAGGAAAAGGGAAGGCTTAGTCTCACCATTTTCAAGCCTTTTTTCACTTGGGTTTTATGGAAATAAACAGCTAGTTCTGATTGTTTTGTTCTTGTATATTTTCTTGTTCTTACCACTTAGCAACAAACTGAATCAAAAATCAATTCCCATTTTCCGTAAAAAAAAGGAACACTTCCCTTCTGATTCCAAGATAACACTGTCAATAATAGTGTTGGCTAAGTGTTATGACATGACTCACCATTCATTCGAATTGTCATGCAGGCTCTTATTACAAATGACAGTAGGAGCTTTGCAAAAGTAAAAACTAAGGGCAAGGGGGATGGCTTTGGGGAAATATCCTGAATAGTTTAGGTCTTACTAATATTTGATACTAAGCTTACATAAATTCAGATACTATTAATGTTAAGATTAAAAGAAAAGGGCTATACTTTTAACTAAACTCCACTATTCCCATCAAAGTAGTCTTACAGTCAAGATATAAATCCACTGTAAAAAAAACTACTGGCATCTATTAAGCAGCTACCACCAGTAAAATTCCTGATCACTTTAGTTACACAACTATAAAGACCTATTCTGACTGGTGATGAGGAAAATTGAGAAGAATGGTCGTAATGCTTGGACAATTTCTGAATGACTAATAAATTTGGATCCCTCCTCACCACTTGATCCTACCCAAGATTCAATGCACAAAATTTCCAGTTAAAAAAAGTATTTTAAATAGAACCTTAGAGATAGGTACAACCAAATATAAAGCTAGTAGTTGGCAACCTATGTATAATATATGACTGTGTTAAAACTATGTACTCTCTTCTTCCCCTATCTTATACATGATTTGTGCAGGAGGAATGAAAATTGATAGATTCTAAATAAATGCAAAAAAAAACCTGAAAATATTTTCTTGCATATCACATGTAAATCAGAAGCCATTATGTAAGGGTGATTTAAATGATGATAGGGTGATTTTAAAATGTTTTTGACTTACTTAAAATTCTTATTTAGGATCAATTTTAAGGTTTAGCTCCTCAGTTAAAACATTTTAATATTTTAAAATATGCTAGAAAATGGTTTTATGTTTTGTGTATTTTCCATTAACCTTAATCAGTGATTTCATCAATTACCAAAAGTACTTTATTTGTGAACAATGTGAGAGACTGATAATACTAGCTTTGTATAGTTTTTCTTTGGAAAGTCTTACAAATTCAAAGTAATAAATATGTTCATCTTATTCTTTTCAAAGGTTCAATTTTTTTAAATTACTGCTTTAAAATTTCAAAACAGTCTGTGATTATAACATTTTCAAATTTGTAACAGCTTGATACTATGAAGGGAGAAGGAGAGTGGCTGTGAGGAGAGGAAAGAAAGTGAGAGAATATTCTTAAATATTGATGAAGTAAGAGAAATAATAGATGCCATCACTTAACTATTTAAAACCTTCCTGTTGCTTTAGTACAACTTGGTGGTGATCAATTTAAAGTACAATAAATAACAGAAAAATCAATGAAATTTTCTAGTTACTTTAAGTCCACTTATAGTAGTATCATTTTAATTCAGGAATTTAAATATACACTTCAAATGAACTATAAAAAAAATATGCCTTGTAAAAAAAAAATGGCATTTCCAAAAAAGGAGTTGGCTAAAAGCAGTAACAAAATTACATTATTATAGTAGGCTGAATTTGCACACAATACTCTTTAAGAAAACAAAGAAAAACAATCATACAACCCTCTCTCCATTAAACTATTTCTCAAACCTAATATTGTTACTCCAATGAACAGAAGTATCAAGTCTCTTTATGACTACCTACTCAGAAGAGAATAAACAGTGCTTTGTTTCACTCCTTGAGCATCTTTTCCTCTAGCACTCTTCTTTAGCTCCTATAGCAACTACTTTGTTGGGCTAACTTAAGAAAAGCCTAAAAGGTAAGCCTTTGTATATGAGTGGCCACTGGTCAAGTTCTTATTCTTTATAGCAGAAAATATCTGGATTGTTAAACTGGATAGCATTTGGTTACAGCATGCCAATATTCAACATGTACTGAAGTTTATTAAGAAAGGTGTAGAACCAGATTATCCTAGTATTTAAAGCATTAACAAAGAAATGATTCAACATTATGAAATGACTTTGCTCTAGCTCTTTTTGCTACCTTTGTCAGTTCAGTTTTTTTCTCACATACTCTTTCCCCGATATTAAGTTGTAAATACTTGATAACCTACTAGACAAGGAACTTCCAAATATATTTGCAAAGATATAATTTGAATGTACTCAGTAAAAAGTAGTTAAATCCTAAAAGAGCTCAGAAGAAAGTAATTGCAAAGGTGTTGCTCTCTATTTTTGTTCTGAAGTACTATGTATGATATGTGCTTCACATGGGCCCAGGGATGGTACATCATCAGTACGATTCTAGATACGACAGAATTAGGGCTACTTCCCAGAAAGCCAACTGAAAAGACTACAACAGACGATACTACACGTCTCTTCTTCCCTGCCTCTCTTCCCCAAAGTAACTCTCGCCTCAGATACCTTTTTATCTACTAGCAGACTTTGCCCTGTATTCGTAACAAGAGGGGAAATTGTTTGAAACACCCATCCTTATATACTCAGATGTTATTCCTTCTCTTAAATTATACTTTTCTCTTCAGTCCCTGCCTTTGTCAAATTCAGTACAAGCAAGTCAATTCATGACTTTTACATATTTTCTATCCACAAACAACAAAAATATTCAAACTTTTGCTGGAAATGTAGAATCTACAATTTCTAAACATTTTGCATAATATTAAGCATATGCAAATTTTGAGTTATCATATTCCTGTAACTGATGGTGAAAGATAAATTATTCTGCCCAAAAAAGTGAGGTGGGTTTTGAGAACCTTTGCTTGACTCTCCTAAGAAGGTAAGGCAAATGCTTGAAAGATGATAAGACTTTTGTATTATATGCTAACTGGAAAACTTTAAAGGTTCATTTTACCAAGCCACAGTAAATAATTTAAGAGAATCTCATTCCAACCTATATGAATCTTTTTTATTATACTGCAACATAATTTGAAAATGAGGATTATTTTCCTGGCTAACACTGTGGGACAACAGTTTGGTTAACCTCTCTAGTGATTTGATCTCTTTCCTCTTAAGACAATGGTAACAAAGATTCTAAAATAAGAATGTCTGAAACAGTTCTTTAAAAAGCCTATCCACAAACATTAATACTTTGGAACACTAGTCACAGTACTCTATACTGTAGACCATGGGATGGCAAACTTTTTCTGTAAGGGTCAGAGAATAATATTTTAGGTTGGGCAGGCTATAATCTCTATAGCAACTACTCAATCCTGTCATTGTTGCACAAAAGCAACCATGAACAATAAGTAAAAGAATGAGTATGGCTATATACCAGTAAAATTTCATTTTGGGACACTGAATTTCCTACATATTTTCATGTGTCTTGAAATATTCTTCTAACCATTTAAAATTATAAACACAATTCTCAGTTCACAGGCCATTAAAAGCAGGCAGTGAGCTTTGGCCCATGAGCCACTATTAGCTATCCCTTATATACACCTTTACATCAGAAAAATGTTTAAAACTCACAGATTCCAAGTCTAGAGACTTTGGAGACTTTTTGTTTTTTAGAGCTCTCATTTTAAAACTTAACCAGACAAGTTCTCTACTTACAGGATAAATGCACTTACATGAGAATGATAAAATAATTCAGGATAAAAATCCCTACTTAAAAAAGAAGGAAAAAAAACAAAAAAGCTGTAAAATGAATGTTCTGCCTACAACATATAATTAGAAAAGATTTAAAATTTTATTCCATGCACTATGAAACAATATGTATAGATTTGGTACATAATTTCTTAGTTTTACTTTAGGGAAAAAAAAATTAGGAAAAGGTTTGTAAATCTTCCCATGCCTTTTACAAAAAGTGGCAAAAGAAATCAGTAATCCCTTACATGTACAACCATCAACTCTGAATATAATATAAATTTGGAATTTACCTAGGTGAGCACTCACTGCTCTTAAAAAACTACATGATTATATCATAGAACACTCTGGCTTCTACAACTTGGAACACTTCTGAGTAGAAAACTCCTGACTCCATAGCATAAGGAAACAAGAAAACTTTTTCCATAGTCATCAAGTATAATAAAACTTCACAGTCTGATTTACCTTTATCAAAGATAAAATGATTCACTACTACATTTCATGGATTATATTGATCCTCAGTAGTTCCTAAACACAAACTAAATTTTGCATGACTTTTTTTTACCTGTTTGGGTTTTCTAAAGCATGATACTAATACAAAATGTACTGAACTGGCATAAGTCCATGAGCTAAAAAAGAGGAGTTAAATATAAAATGTTTACCAAATTTATCCTAGTTTTACAACAGCTTCAAATATTGAGACTTAATTGGTTTCTTGTGTCTATCCATTGTGAACGTAACTCAATCTTCTACTTTAACATTCCTTAGTGGCCAGTGTTTTCTTTGAATTTTGCTGAGCGACGCACAAGATCATCTCGTCCAACTTCAGCCATTTGTCCTTCCCAAGATTTCATTTCATTATCATAACGAATTTTATCATCTTTAGCAAGCTGAACATATACCTAAGAAAAAGTGTAATTGTTAAAATGATTTCTTTGAGGCTTTGCAATTAATTTCTGGAATGCTTCCATATTTACTCAAGAAATCATCTTACTATTTAAAATGTATTGAGGAGGAATGAAAAGGAATATTTTTGTGAGATGAAAGATTAGAAAAAGGTAAGAGATAAAGATTTTGTAAGCATTAATGGAGTTACAGTTTCAAGGCTTGGAATGCGAAAAAGGAGCAGAGGCAGGGTATGACCACTGGATAAAGTAGATACTCAAGTTATGAGAGACATCATTTTAAATAACAACTTGATTTGTAGTCAAAAGCTACCAAAAGAAGCCAAATTGGTTCTAAGAATATAAAAATAATTTTTAAGTACTTTAACTGTGTTATTAGTAATATAAAGCTACTTTCCCATGAATTAAAAGCCTTGCTGTAATTATTCTTTCACCGATATTCTAACTAGCCCTACAAACACTAAAACTATACTACTTACTTGCTTTTGAGAACTAGGGAGATTTTTCCAGTTTTCATTTACAATCTTCATCTTTACCTATAAAACAACATACATATCAGTACCAGATATAGAGACTTCAGTGATTAAAGACTTTTTTATTATCCTTTTATTATTAAATTTTCTTTATTATTGCAATGACAAAAGCTCAAGTATCAAGAATCACAGGCAAAGCCTTATCAATTCTTATCTTTTCTAAGCAAAAGCTATTAAACTGTTAAAAGGTACAAAAATGAATGAAGATATTAATCTTTTCTATTGAGATATAATTGATATACAACTTACTAGTTTCAGCTGTACAACATAATGACTCAATATTTGTATATAGTAGGAAAGATCATCACAGTAAGTCTAGTTAATAGTTAACATTCATTACCATAGTTAAAAAATGTTTTTTCTTGTGTTGAGAACTTTTAAGATCTGCTCTTAGCAACTTTCAACTATGTATTACATTACTATTAGCCACTGTCACTACACTGCACATTATATCCCCAGCACTTAATTATTTTATAACTTGGTTTGTTCCTTTTGTTCCCCTTCATCCATTTTGCCCACTCTTCCAACCCCTCCTCTGGCAACAACCAATTCATTCTCGGTTGCTGTTTTTAGATTTCCACATATAAGAGAGTTCATACGGCATTTTCTTTCTCTGTCTGACTTATTTCCAGGTCCATTCACAAATGGATTGGCTGTCACAAATACAAAATTTTCTTTCTTTTTATAGCTGAATAATATTCCACTGTGTGTGTGTGTATTCTTATAGATTCATCCACTGATGGACACTTGAATCGCTTAATGATGCAATGAACATGGCGGAGCATATACTTTTACAGCTTTTTCCATTTTCACTGGATAAATAACAAGAATTAGAATTGTTGAATTGAATGGTATTCTATCTTTAATTTTTTGAGGAACCTCCATATTGTTTTCCATAGTGGCTACAGCAATTTACATTCCCATCTATAATGCACAAGGGTTTCTTTTTCTCTATATCTTCAGCAACACATCTTTCTTGTCTTTTTGGTAACAGCCATTCTAATATGTGTGAGGTGATACCACATTGTGGTTCTGATTTCCATTTCTCTGATAGTTAATGATGTTGAGCTTTTCCCCTTCATCCATTGTACTGTTAGCCATTTGTATGTCTTCTTTGCAAAAATGTCTATTCAGATCCTCTGCCCATTTTTTATCAGATATTTTGCTGCTACTGAGTTTATATGAGTTCTTTGTATCACCCTTATCAGACATATGATATGCAAACATGTTCTCCCATTTAGTAGGATGCTTTTTCATTTTTTTCATTTCCTTTGCTGTGCACATTATTTATCTTATTTGACTCAGAAATATTAACATTCAAGTATAATCTACATTCTATCATAAACCTAATTTCAAATATTAAGTGTTTTATTTTTTCCCCATAGCTTAATGATTTATTCTAAAATTTGTGTCCATATGTTCAGGTGTAGTTCTGGGAACAAACACAACCAGTACTTAAATCTACTTAGATGAACCTAATTATGTGACTGGGAAGAAGTTATATTACCTCCCTAGGCTTAGTTCTTTAGCTATAAAATTAAAGGGATGCAAAATAGAGGAGGAGCCCAGATGGTGGCATGAGTAGGGCAGCAGAAATCTCCCCAAGCCATATATATTTTTGAAAATACAACAAAAACAACTATTCCAAAAAGAGAGGCCAGAAGATACAGTACAACAGTCAGACTACATCTACATCTATGAGAACTCAGCACCTCACGAAGGGGGTAAGATACATGCCACGGCCCAGCAGGACCCGAATGCAGCCCCCACCCCAGCCCACCGGCAGGAGAAGAGGAGACAAAGCGGGGAGGGAGTTACAACCCAGGACAGCTAAATACCCAGTCTTACTCATCCGCACTGGGAGCATAGACACACAATGCATGGTGTGCTAGATATTAAGGAAACAGAAGAGTAAAACCTGCGAGCGGGTCCCCGCAGTGAGCGCCCCTGGGACAAAAGAAAAGCAAGTGCTTTTTGAAAGTCTTAAAGGGACAGGAGCTTCACAGCTGGACGGAACCGTCCTGACACACTCAGCCCAGCAGCTGTGAATCCTGGGAAATTTCAGACACCCCAGCCCCCTGGGAGGCAAAGCAGCGCTGAAGCCCTGCACGGTGATAAACAGCCTCCCGTCCATTCGCCCTCCCGTGTGGCCCTGCCACAGCAGGGAGCAGCCTGATAGCAGCCGCGACCACATCAGCTGCCCAGAACCTCCTCCGCAGCCACCCGAACCAAACTCAGAGGCCCAGCTGGCATGGGGAAGCCCGGCACAGACACAGGAAGCTGGGACAAGGCGCAAAGGGTCACCGTTCTCACAGGAGAGCACACTCAGCGCACCTGCCTCTCCCTGCGGGGCTCCAGGATGCCCCAACGGCTGACCCGCCCGCAGCAACTCAGGAAACAAAACTGGAAGCTGCTCCCCATGTGCAGGTAACTGGCACAGGCAGCAGAGAAGGGCAAGACGCAGGAAGAGACACTGATCTCCCAGCTGACACATGCGCCAACTGTCTATGACTACTTCTATCACCATGAAAAGGCAGAAGAATTTGATCCAGTCCAGAATTATCCAGACAACCCCCAAGAGGGAGCCTGGGGAGATAGATTTAACAAATCTTCCTGAAAAAGAATTCAAAATAAAGGTCATAACCATGCTGATGGACCTACAAGGAAATATGCAACAGCTAAAGGATCAAGTTAGGAGGGAGAATACAGAAATAAAACAATCTCTGGAAGGACGTAAGAGCAGGCTGGATGAGGTGCAAGACGACGTTAATGGAATAGAGATCAGAGAACAGAAACAGAGAGAAGCTAAGGCAGAGAGAGATAAAAGGATATCCAGGGATGAAAGATTAAGAGAAGTGTGTGACCAATCCAAATGGAACAATATTCATATTATAGGGGTACCAAAAGAAGAAGAGAGAGAAAAACAGATAGAAAGTGTCTTTGAAGAAGTAATTGCTGAAAACGTCCCCAAACTGGGGGAGCATATAGTCTCTCAGAAAACAGAAGCCCACAGATCTCCAAATACAAGGGACCCAGGGAGGATAACACCAAGACACATAATTAAAATGGCAAAGATCAAGGACAAGGACAGAGTATTAAAGGCAGACAGAGAGAGAAAAAAGGTCACCTACAAAGGAAAACTCATCAGGCTATCATCAGACTTCTCAACAGAAACCTTACAGGCCAGAAGAGAATGCCATGATATATTTAATGCAATGAAACAGAAGGGCCTTGAACCAAGGGTACTGTATCCAGTACGGTTATCATTTAAATATGAAGGAGGGATTAAACAATTCACAGACAAGCAAAAGTTGAGGGCATTTGCCTCCCACAAACCACCTCTACAGGATATTTTAAAGGAACTGCTATAGATGGATGCATTTCTAAAGCTAAATAGATGTCACCAGAGAAAATAAAATCACACCAAAGAAAGCAGACCAACCAAATACTAACTAAAGGCAAAAAATAAAATCAACTACTCACAAAAGCAGTCAAAGCAAACACAAAAGAGTACAGAATAAAACACCTAACATATAAAGAATGGAAAAAGAGGAATAAGAAGGGAGAGAAATAAAGAATCATCAGACTGTGTTTATAATAGCTTAATAAGCGAGTTACGTTTCATAGTTAGATAGTAAAGAAGCTACCCTTGAACCTTTGGTAACCACGAATCTAAAGCCTACAATGGCAGCAAGTACATATCTTTCAATAATCACCCTAAATGTAAATGGTCTGAATGCTCCAATCAAAAGACACAGAGTAATGGAATGGATAAAAAGGCAAGACCCATCTATCTATATGCTGCTTACAAGAGATCCACTTCAAACCCAAAGACATACACAGACTAAAAGTGATGGGATGGAGAAAGATATTTCATACAAATAATAGGGATAAAAAGCAGGTGTTGCAGTACTTGTATCAGACAAAACAGACTTCAAAACAAAGAAAGTAACAAGAGATAAAGAAGGACATTACATAATGATAAAGGGGTCAATCCAACAAGAGGATATAACCATTATAAATACCTATGCACCCAACACAGCAGCACCTACATATGTGAAACAAATACGAACAGAATTAAAGGAGGAAATAGAATGCAATGCATTCATTTTAGGAGACTTCAACAAACCACTCACTCCAAAGGACAGATCCACCAGACAGAAAATAAGTAAGGACACAGAGGCACTGAACAACACACTAGAACAGATGGACCTAAGAGACCTCTGCAGAACTCTCCACACAAAAGCAGCAGGATACACGTTCTTCTCAAGTGCACATGGAACATTTTCCAGAATGAACACTTACTAGGCCACAAAAAGAGCTTCAGTAAATTCAGAAAGATTGAAAGTCTACCAAGTTCTCAGAAAACAAAGGTATAAAACTAGAAATAAATTGTACAAAGAAAGCAAAAAGGCTCACAAACACATGGAGGCTTAACAACATGCTCCTAAATAATCTATGGATCAATGACCAAATTAAAATAGAGATCAAGCAATATATGGGCACAAATGAAAACAACAGCACAAAGCCCCAACTTCTGTGGGACACAGCGAAGGTAGTTCTAAGAGGAAAGTATGTACAATCCAGGCCTACTTAAAAAAAGAAGAACAATTCCAATTGAATAGTCTAAAGTTACAATTACTGAAATTGGAAAAAGAAGAACAAATGAGGCCCAAAGTCAGCAGAAGGAGGGACATAATAAAGATCACAGAAGAAATAAATAAAATTGAGAAGAATAAAACAATTGAAAAAATTAATGTAAACAAGAGCTGGTTCTTTGAGAAAGTAAAAATAGATAAAACCCTAGTGAGACTTATTAAGAGATAAAGAGGATCTACACATATCAACAGAATCAGAAATGAGAAAGGAAAAATCACTACAGAAACCACAGAAAAACAAAGAATTATTAGAGAATACTATGAAAATCTATATGCTGACAAACTGGATAACCTAGAAGAAATGGACAACTTTCTAGAAAAATACAACCTTCCAAGACTGACCAAGGAAAAAACAGAAAATCTAAACAGACCAATTACCAGCAACAAAATTGAATCTGTAATCAAAAAACAACCCAAGGATGAAAGTCCCAGAGCAGATGGATTCACCGCTGAATCTTATCAGACATACAGAGAAGACATAATACTCATTCTCCTTAAAGTTTTCCAAAAAATAGAAGTGGGAATACTCCCAAACTCATTCTATTAAGCCAGCATCACTTGAATACCAAAACCACGCAAAGACACCACAAAAAAGAAAATTAGGGACCAATATTCCTGATGAACATAGATGCAACAATACTCAACAAAGTATTAGCAAACCAAATTCAAAATTACATCAAGAAGATAATACACTATGATCAAGTGGGATTCATCTCAAGGATGCAAGGATGGTACAACATTAGAAAATCAATCAACATCATCCACCACGTCAAAAAAAAAGGACAAAAACCACATGATCATCTCCATAGATGCTAAAAAAGCATTTGACAAAATTGAACACCCATTCATGATAGAAACTCTCAACAAAATGGGTATAAAGGGCAAGTACCTCAAATTAATAAAGGTCATATATGACAAACCCACAGCCAACATTATACTTAACAGCGAGAAACTGAAAGCTTTTCCCCAAAGATCGGAAAGAAGACAAGGATACCCACTCTTCCCACTGTTATTCAACATAGTACTGGAGGTCCTAGCCACGGCAATAAGACAAAACAAAGAAATACAAGGAATCCAGATTGGTAAGGAAGAAGTAAACTGTCACTGTTAGCAGATAACATGATATTGTACATAAAAAACCCTAAAGACTCCACTCCAAAACTACTAGAATATTTGAATTTGCAGAACACAAAATTAATACACAGAAATCTCTTGCTTTCCTATACACTAATGATGAACTAGCAGAAAGAGAAATCAGGAAAACAATTCCATTCACAATTGCATCAAAAAGAATAAAATACCTAGGAATAAACCTAACCAAGGAAGTGAAAGACCTATACTCTGAAAACTACAAGACACTCTTAAAAGAAATTAAAAAGGACACTAATGGAAATTGATCCCATGCCCTTGGGTAGGAAGTATTATTGTTGTCAAAATGGCCATCCTGCCTAAAGCAATCTACAGATTCAATGCAATCCCTATCAAAATACTGACAGTATTCTTCAACAAACTGGAACAAATATAGAACCAAAAAAGACCCCGAATAGCCAAAGCAATCCTGAGAAGGAAGAATAAAGCAGGGGGGATATCGCTTCTCAACTTCAAACTCTACTACAAAGCCACAGTAATCAAGACAATTTGGTACTGGCACAAGAACAGACCCACAGACCAGTGAAACAGAATAGAGTCCAGATATTAACCCAAGCACTTATGGTCATTTAATACATAATAAAGGAGCTGTGGATATACTATAGGGAAATAACAGCCTCATCAACAGCTGGTATTGGCAAAATTGGACAGCTACATGTAAGAGAATGAAACTGGATCATTGTCTAATCCCATACACAAAAGTAAACTCAAAATGGATCAAAGACCTGAATGTAAGTCATGAAACCATAAAACTCTTAGAAAAAAACATAGGCAAAAATCTCTTGGACATAAACATGAGCAACTTCTTCATGAACATATCTCCCTGGGCAAGGGAAACAGGCAAAAATGAACAATTGAGACTATATGAAGCTGAAAAGCTTCTATACAGCAAAGGACACCATCAGTAGAACAAAAAGACATCCTACAGTATGGCAGAATATATTCATAAATGACAGACCCGATAAAGGGTTGACATCCAAAATACATAAAGAGCTCACGCACCTCAACAAACAAAAAGCAAGTAATCCAATTAAAAAATAGGCAGAGGAGCTGAACAGACACTTCTCCAAAGAAGAAATTCAGATGGCCAACAGGCACATGAAAAGATGATCCACATCACCAATCATCAGAGAAGTGCAAATTAAAACCATAATGAGATATCACCTAACACAAGTTAGGATGGCCAACATCGAAAAGACTAGGAACAACAAATGCTGGCGAGGATGCGGAGAAAGGGGAACCCTCCTACACTGCTGATGGGAATGTAAATTAGTTCAACCATTGTTGAAAGCAGTATGGTGGTTCCTCAAAAAACTAAAAATAGAAATACATTTGACCCAGGAATTCCACTCCTAGAAATTTACCCTAAGAATGCAGCAGCCCAGCTTGAAAAAGACATATGCACCCCTATGTTTATTGCAGCAGTATTTACAATAGCCAAGAAATGGAAGCAACCTGTGTACATCAGTAGATGGATAAAGAAGATGTGGTACATATACACAATGGAATATTATTCAGCCATAAAAAGAAAACAAATCCTATCATTTGCAACATGGATGGAGCCAGACAGTATTATGTTCAATGAAATAAGCCAGGCAGAGAAAGACAAGTGTCAAATGATTTCACTCATCTGTGGAGTATAAGAACAAAAACACTGAAGGAACAAAACAGCAGCAGACTCACAGAACCCAAGAATGGAATAACAGTTACCAAAGGGAAAGGGACTGGGGAGGATAGGTGGGAAAGGAGGGATAAGGGGAAAAGGGGGCATTATGATTAGCACATATAATGTAGGGGTGGGGGGCATGGGATAGGCAGTATAACACAGAGAAGACAAGTAGTGATTCTATAGCATCTGAATATGCTGATGGACAGTAACTGAATGACTGTAATGGGGTATGTGGTGGAGACTTACAATGGGGGTGTCTAGTAACCATAATTTTGCTCATGTAATTGTGCATTAATGATACCAAAATATAATAATAAAAGAAAATAAATAAAAAAAGAAACTGATCTTCCATGTATCCTTATTGGGGAGAGGCACTGAGAGACCCCTACACCAGAGAGACAACAGAGGAAGCAAAGGCCCCACAGGGATGACCCCAGGATGTCAGATGTGCACTGGCATGAAAGGCAACAGCTAACCCAGAACAAAGAGGCTCCAGAAGGAAACTAACAGAACATATAATGCATTGCTACAGGTACCAGATGTTGACAAACTGTAGAGTTGGGGTTGACTCATTGACAGTACATAAAAATATAAGCAAACAAAAACCAACAAGACACAACTTCAGGGAAAGTAATCCTTATTGGGGAGAGGCACTGAGAGACCCCTACACCAGAGAGACAACAGAGGAAGCAAAGGCCCCACAGGGATGACCCCAGGATGTCAGATGTGCACTGGCATGAAAGGCAACAGCTAACCCAGAACAAAGAGGCTCCAGAAGAAACTAACAGAACATATAATGCATTGCTACAGGTACCAGATGTTGACAAACTGTAGAGTTGGGGTTGACTCATTGACAGTACATAAAAATATAAGCAAACAAAAACCAACAAGACACAACTTCAGGGAAAGTAAGTTTTGCAAGGAAAAATTTTCATAGCAAATGGCACAGCTATGAATAAGGTTTACATAATCATAATATAAATACCCAATACTGATCTAACCAAAATTAATTATATTGGGAGGCAGGGGGATGGAAACATGAACAGTGTGATGATATAGAGTTAAATGTTCACCATAAATAGCACTAAAATATCACTAATACATAATGGAAAAAATCAAGCAGTAAAAGGGTGTTATTTAACAACAATATAAGGATGTTATTTAAAGAGATGTTCCATAAGAATCAGCTGTATCAGTAAAATATATCTGCTTCTGGAGTAAGGAATATGACAGGGTAATGAAAATTGGTATCTTTCCCATACAAGCCTTATTTTGATTCTTTAAAATTTGAGAAAGTATAGGCAATGTTTTTAAATAAATAAAAACCCCAGGGATAGGGCCCAGCCATTAAACTTCTTAGTTGGTTCCACAGTGCAGAGTTGAGAACCACTCATATGGAGGATTCTCTAGCACATAACCTATACTGATAAGAAAACTAAATTAAGGAACTGACCGAGGAAATTCCAACTAAATAAACAGACTTGCATTTTATTAGCATGAGGCCGTACAAACAATTTAAAAACCCAAGAGAAGTAAATCTTAAAAACATATAGCCAGGGAATACTACATCACACATACACATTATTTAATCTTACATTAAACAAGATTTGTGAAACAACAAATCCAAAAAACCCCCAAAGAGGCAGCATGGCACAAACCATCTCAGAGTGACAAGAGTTAGGTATCTGAACACACACTTTCCTTTACACATTGTATTATAAAAGGAAAAATAGAATCACAAATTTTGAGCTTTTAATAAGGAAATAAAGAAAGACTAAGCCACAGCAGGAATAACAAGTCTTTTTTTTCCTTTGACACATTCATGATGGCATTCATGTGCATAATACATTCCTATGGGCATAACCAAAGTTTTATTAAAGGATATAAAATGAAGCAATAGGTTATATTAAAATCCCAATACAAAATATTGTAAATCTACTTTCATTCTTTCCCAGTGACTGTAAAACAGTTAAGAAATGCTGGATAAGAAAAGTCTCCAGAATATTAACACCCGTGTAAATTTGAAGACTGTTTTTCTAAATAAAAAAAAAAAGTTGACTGTATATATATTAGCAACTACATACTCTAACCATATGTGCTAAGAAAAAGTATTTTTCTTTAAAAGAGATACAAGAAAGGCCTTATTTGTATATTTGTACTTGTTTATAGTGATATACTACTTTTCTTCACCACCTGACATTAATAGTACCCCAAACTTTCCTGTCTATATGTTTTAAAAATTAACAAAAACTTAAAAAATAAATGCAGTTTTATTTTACCTGTGATGAAACATCCTTAGTTTCCTGGAACCTTTCAGCTACATAAATGTTATAAGCTGAGCGAGGTCTTTTCGGTTTTCCAAGCATTGTTAACTCCTGAGTTATAAAAATGGAAGAGTTAAATAAAGTTTTAACCTCTATGAGACTTAATTTTACCTACAGAAACTTTATTCACTACTATGTATTATAGAATGCTCCTTAAAGTGAATATCATAATTCCATAAGTATGCAATTATTCCCGCTTGGGATCAGGATTTTTTGATAGCACTAAATTTTGAAGACTCTAATAGATTTTATGAGTCATTTTTCCATACAAAACATTTCCTTTAGGTATTATTTTCAGTGGTCTCTACGAAATGAATAACAAAACACATACATACAAAATCTTTTTTAAAAGATAGAACAATCTGTTTCATCCTTTTGAGACACTATCATCTCCTTGACCAAATCACTACATGCCTCTACCACAATTCATAAACATTGGACTTTCTATTTAATAGTTAAATTATTTTAAATAGCTACCAAAAGGCTGAGGAGCAGGGAAGATGGAAAATAATGCAAGTATTCTTTGCTAGCTAAATCAATTCAGTTTTTGAGTTCAGACAATGAGGAATATTGCAGTATCCCATTTAGTTTCTCAATTTTGGATAGTGAGTAGTACTTGTAATTTATAAAATTATGTGGATCGTAATTGCAATTTGGTTTTAAGTCAATAACACATCCAACTTTTATACCTAAGTAGAAGAAGGGCTCCTCTGATTTACATCTAAAGATCACTCCCTTTTTCTTGAACCTCTCAGTCATTAAACTACTGAAGACTCCAGGCACTTTATGAATTAACTATTTATGCTTTGTTTCTAGAGCCCCTGCTAGGCATTTCTCTTCTAGGTGCTTCACTTGCAACTTCCTGGCTCCTATAATTCTCACCTGATCTCTAACTAGTTGACACTGGGCATCTTTAAGAGGAAGAAAATTCCAACAGGAAGGGAAAATGGAAGTCAGAGGAAATAAAGAACCCCCAGGCTTCAGGTTTCCTGTACCACAGGAAAGGAGCTTAAAAACCACCACTCCAAACTAACAATCATAAAGCTGAACAGACTGAAAAATCAACAGCTATTCTTGCAACCATGAAAGACAGAGGACAACACAGGGCAAATGCTGCACCCAAGAATGGAGAGAGATGAGTATAGGGAGTTAAGGCTTACCGGAATGGAAGACACAGGAGTGGAAACCACAACAGGAACCAATGCCAGGGTAGGAAAACCTAAATTATAATTAACAAATTGCTGGAGGCTATGTGTAGACAACTCGGAGTTTAAAAACTCCAGGGGAGATGGGGAGAGAAAAGATGGTGGAGAAAGAAGGCAAGGCAAAAACCTCCTCTGAAAAACATATAAAAGAAGAAAATACAGCAAATACAACTAAACCCAAAAACAACCTGAAGACGCAGAACTGACTACCTACACCTGGGGAAGAAGATTTCACAAAAATAGGTAAAGTGGCAGAGCTGTGATCCAGTGGGACCCAAACCCTCCCCCAGCCCCAGCCTCCAGGTGGGAGAGAGAGGAACAGAGTGGGGAAAGGGATTGAAGCCAGGATTGCTGAACACTTGGCCCTGGAATTCTGCTTCAGGAGCAGAAGCCCACCATACATTGGGTTCTGGTGATTAGTGGGGCTGGACACCAAGGACAGATGGAACACTCAAGGCAGCTTAGATTCCAGCTGCTTGTGGAGAACAGGCAAGCAACACACCAGTCCCCAAGACAAAAGCAGAGAGGGCAGTACAAAAGACTTGCCAGCAGCAGGAGGGGTGCCAGAGAGGCAAGGGCTTGACAGAGATCCATTCTCAGGAAAAGGGCCCGTGAACAATACCTCCCCAGCCCTCTCCCGGCCCAGCAAGTTGGGAACTCTCAGAAGCCCCAGAACACTCCATCCCCTTTGCTGGCAATGCAGCTCCAAGACTCCTCCCTATATGCACTGCCAGCCAACCCACTCAGCCCAGAAGCAGCATCAGACTTTGTTGCCTGGTAGGCAGAGGGAGACTCTCCAGCTCTAGGTGCTGTTTCAGCCCAACTGGGGAGGTGCCTGCAGGAGCCAGCCCCAAATGATCCTTCACAGGTGCACATCAGCTTGCCATTGGCCCTGCAGCCCCACCTTTATTGCAGGACAAGCAGAGTGCGGCCAACCCACAGTGAATCCAGCAGACTTTTGTGCTCATCACAAAGGCACAGCTGAAGCAAACTGCCAGCCCAGACTCAAACCACTACAGAAGCCAGACAGGCAGTCCTGCCCACTGCACACCAACAGCTGGGGCTCCCACACTGGAGAGTAGAGTGTCTTGAGCTTCTGGGCACCACAGAATGCCATCTTCATAAAGTTACTACTCCACAGGCCAGGAAGCACAGCAGAGCTATCTAATACAAAGGAAGAAACAGAAACCTTGACAAAATGAGGAGGCAGAGGAATATGTTCCTAACAAAACTACAGGCTAAGACACCAGAAACACGGCTAAATTAAACAGAAATCACCAATCTTCTTGATAAAGATTTCAAAGTAGAAGTCATAACATGCTCACAGATCTACAAAAAAATATTCAAGATTTCAGGGAGTACTTCAACAGAGACAGAAAACCTGAAAAAGAGCCACTCAGAGCTGAAGAATACAGTATCTGAAATGAAACATACAATGGAGGAACTTAAGAGTATATTAGTGCAAGTAGAGGAAATCTGTGAATGAGGTGGAAATTAGGGAATAGGAACACAATGAAGCAGAGGAAGAGAGAGAAAAAAGGATCTCTAGGAATGAAATAATAATGAGAACTGTGTGACCAATCTAAACAGAACAATGTTTGCATAATAGGGGTACCAGAAGGAGAAGAGGGAGACAAAGGGATAGAAAGTCTGTTTGAGGAAAGAAAACTTCCCCAATCTAAGAAAGGAAACAGACATTTGGGTCATGAAAGTACAGAGAGCACCTAACAAAATGAACCCCAGAAAGACAACACCAAGACATATTTATAATTAAAGTGATAAAGATTAAGGATAAGGAGAGAGTATTGAAAACAGCCAGAGACAGAAATAAGATTATTTATAAGAGAAACCCAATCAGGCTATCAGCAGACTTATCAGCAGACACTATACAGGCCAGAAGGGAGTGGCATGATATATTTAATATAATCAAACAGAAGACTTTCAACCAAGAATCCTTTACCCAGCAAAATTACCATTTAAATTGAAGCAGGGATTAAACAATTTCCAGATAAACAAAAATTGAAGGAATTCAGCACCATTAAGTCAATCTTACAGGGTATGTTAAAGATACTGCTGTAGATGGAAATGTTCCTAAGGCTAAATAGCTTTCACCAGTGAGAATAAAGCCACAGTAAAGGTAGTAGACCAATTAATTAAAAAAGCAAATAGAAAATTAAAACAAAACAAAAGCAGCAAAATCAACTATCCACAAAATCAGTCAAGGGATACAAAAAGGTATAGATTAGAACATCTAATACACAAAGTGTGGAGGAGGAAGAATAAAAGATTCTTGTTTAGATTGTGTCTGAAATACAGTAATCAGCAATTTAAGAGAGACTGTTATATAATAAGGAAACTATCCTTGAACCTTTGATAACCACAAAACTAAAGCCAACAATAGATTCACAGAAAATAAATAAATCAATGAATAAATGAATAAATAAATAAAATAAATCAAGAGGATCCAATCACATGAAAGAAAACCATCAAATAATAAGAGGAGAGTATAAGAGAGGAATAAAGGACAGAAAGAAGCTATAAGAACAGCCAAAAACAAATAAAATGGCAATAAGTACATATCTATCAATAATCACATTAAATGTAAATGGACTGAATGCACCAATCAAAAGGAACAGATAGGCAGAATGGATAAAAAAACAAGACCCATCTACATGCTGCCTACAAGAGACTCATTTCAGACCAAAAGACATACACAGTCTGAAAGTGAAAGGATGAAAAAAGACATTTCATGCAAATAATAGGGAGAAAAAAGCAAGAGTGGTAGTACTTATATCAGACAAAACAAATGTCAAAACAAAGAAAGTAACAAGGGACAAGGAAGGACATTACATAATGATGAAAGGGTCAGTTCAACAAGGATATAACCTTTATAAATATCTATGCACCCAACATAGGAGCAACTAATATGGACACAAATACTAACAGAATTAAAGGAGGAAACAGCAACACATTCATTTTAGGAGACTTTAACACACCACTCGCATCAACAGACAAAAAAAAGGAAGGAAACAGAGGCACTGAACAATATATTAAATCAGATGGACTTTAACAGATATCTGTAGAACATTCCACCCAAAAGCAGCAGGATACACATTTTTCTCAATTGCACATGGAACATTCTCCAGAAGAGATCACTACTAGGCCAAAAAAAAGAGCCTCAATCAATTCAAAGATTGAAATTGTATCAAGCAGCTACTCAGACCATAGCTGCATGAAACAAAGAACAAGGAAACACAAATTACATGAAATGGGAACAAGATAAGGATGCCCACTCTCACCACTTTTATTCAACATAGTACTGAAGGTCCTAACCACGGCAATCAGACAACACCGAGATAAAAGGCAATCAAATAAGTAAAGAAGAAATTAAACTCACTACTTGCAGATGAAAAGGTATTATATACACACAAAACTCTGAAGACTCCACCAAGAAACTGTTAGAATAACTGGATTCAGCAAAGCTGCAGATTACAAAATCAATATACAGAAATCTGTTGCATTCCTATATACTAACAAACTAGCAGAAAGATAAATCAGGAAAAAGTTTCATTTACAATTGCATCAAAAAGAATAAAATACCGAGGAATAAACCTAACAAAGGAGGTGAAAGACGTGTACTCTGAAAACTGTAAGACACTCAAAGAAATTAAAGAAGACACCAATAAATGGAAGCCTATCCTATGCTCATGGATAGGAAGAATTAATATTGTCAAAATGACCACCATGCCCAAGCAATTTATAGATTCAATGCAATCCCTATCAAAATACCAATAGCATTTTTCAGTGAACTAGAACACACAGTTCTAAAATTCATATGGAACCACAAAAGACCCTAAAAATCCAAAGCAAACCTGAGAAAGAAGAATAAAGCTAGGGGGATCACAATCCCTGACTAATCTCTACTACAAAGCTATAGTAATCAAAACAATTTAGTACTGGCACAAGAACAGACCCACAGATCAATGAACAAAATAGAGAACCCTGATATAAACCCACACATATATGCCCAATTAATATACGATAAAGGAGCCATGGACATACAATGGGGAAATGACAGCCTCTTAAACAACTGGTGTTGGCAAAACTGGACAGCTACATGTAAGAGAATGAAACTGGATTACTGTCTAACTCCATACACAAAAGTAAACTCGAAATGGATCAAAGACCTGAATGTTAAGTGATGAAACCATAAAACTCTAAGAAGAAAACATAGGCAAAAATCTCTTGAATATATGAATGAGCAATGTTTTCCTGGATATATCTCCTCAGGCAAGGGAAACAAAATAAAAAATGAACAAGTTGGACTACATCAAACTGAAAATCTTCTGTACAGCAAAGGACACCATCAGTAGAACAAAAAGGCACCCTACAGCATGGGAGAATACATTCATCAACAATGTATCTGATAGGGGATTAATATCCAAAATATTAGAGCTCACATGTCTTAACACTCAAAAAACAAATAACCCAATTAATGGGTAGAGGACCTGAACAGACACTTCCCCAGAAAAGAAATTCAAATGGCCAACAGGCACATGAAAAGATGCTCCATATTACTAACCATTAGGGAAATGCAAATTAAAACCACAATGAGGTATCACCTCACACCAGTTAGAATGTCCACTATCTAAAATGCAAGAAATAACAAATGCTGGCGAGGATGCGGAGGAAGGGGACCCCCTCCTACACTGTTGGTGGGAATGTAAATTGGTACAACTGCTGTGAAAAGCAATATGGAGGTTCCTCAAAAAACTAAAAATGGAAAATACCATTTGACCCCATTATTCCACTCGTAGGAATTTACCCAAAGAAAAAAATCCGTGATTCAACAGGATATATGCACTATGTTTATTGCCACACTATTTGCAATAGCCAAGATATGGAAGCAACCTAAATGTCCAACAATAGATGACTAGATAAAGACATGGTACATATACACAACAGAATATTATTCAGCCATAAAAAGAGAAGAAATCCTCCCATTTGCAACAACATGGATGAATCTAGAGGGTACTATGCTCAGTGAAGTAAGCCAGGTGGAGAAAGACAAGTACCAAATGATTTCACTCATTTGTGGAGTGTAACAACAAAGTAATACAGAAGAACAAAATTGCAGTAGACTCAGACACTGAGAAATGACTAGTGGTTTCCAAGGAGGAGGGCGGGGAAGGGGATTAAGTGGCACAATAATTTGCAATCACAATGTAAGTTGGTCATGGGGACAGTAGCATAGCATGGAGAATCTAGTCAATGATGCTGTAACATCCTTCTATGTTGATAGATAGTAACCGCACTACAGGGCATCAGGATTTAATTACATGGGTTAACTGTTGAACCACTGTGCTGTATATATATCAATGATATTGCAAAAAGAAAAAAACACTCCAGGGGGACCCAGTCAAAGGAGGGCCCTCATAATGAGACTTACCTCCAAGTTGACCAGAGAGCCACAGTAAACAGGAAGTAAAAATCCCCCACTACTTCTGGCAGGAGTAAGAGAAAAATGTGCCATTTTGAAACACCTGTGCACTCTAGTATTCTTAAGAAGCCCTACCTTCAGGAAAAACTAGTAAAGTAGGACCAAACCTGCTGAGGTATTATCAGATCCTAACTGACCTGAGCAAGGAAAATTCCCAACTCCAGCCCACTCTTAACATCCTGTCCCTCCAAAAGGCCTGGGGAGAAAAAAACTGAGAAACACTTGTGAAGTTCACAGTCTAGAAGTCTTAGGCTCACTGAGAATGGGACCTAATCAGAGGCCTAATCATAGGACCTAATCATTGTTCACCTCCCTTGCCCCCACATCTCACCACATTACTAAGGCCTATTTACAGCAATTACTTTTACCCAGGTACATCATGTCTGGCTATCAAGAAAAAATTCCAAGGTACACTAAAGAGCCAAATCCATAAATTGAAGAGACAAAGCAAGCATCAAACTCAGACAGGGCAAGGATATTAGAAGTCTCAAACCAGGAATTTAAAAACAACTATGCTAAGCGTTCTAGATGGCATGCAAGCACAGTTGGCATAGAGAGAAAAAAAAAAAACAGAGAGATGAAAACCCTAAAAATCAAAAAGAAACGTTAGAGATCAAAACCATGGTAACAAATGAAGAATGCTTTTGATGGGCTTATTAACAGACTGGACACGGCTTAGGAAAGAATCTAAGCTAGAAGACACATTAATAGAATCCTTGAAAACCTAAAAGCAAAGAGAATACTGAAAAAAAAAGAAGAAAAGAAAACCCAACAGAACAGAATATCCAAGGACTAAAGGACAAGTATAATAAGTGTAATAAACATTTAATGGGAATACCCAGGAGAGAAAGCAACAGAGTATTTGAATGGAAATCCCTGCAGAATCCTCATTTGTGGTCCCCTCCGCTCTTAATATTGGCTGGGTGCATTGAGGACAAAGGGAAAGCAAACTTTAGCACTCATCCCTCCAAATACCATCCCTACATGGAGACTATATTTCTCATTCTTATAATCTTCTCTGGCTCCCTTTGATTAACTGCATCAGCAGCCTTAGATTACCACTGATGACTTAAAATTGGGAAATCCTCAGCCCTCAGGAAGGCTTAAGTCACTAGGCTTACACTAAAGGCTAGAATCTAATTTTTCAGAAAAATACTTTTACCTCTGATAACCATTTTCTATGCTGTATGTACTAGACCAGCAAGCTGATCATATCATCTAATATTGGTTATTTGGAAAAATGTAGTCTAACTTTCAAACATGGAATTTTTGAGGTTAGTATCCTTGAGCTAAGAAATACAAATTTTGAACCATGTGGGGTTTTTAATGAGGAAAAATAGGATTTTATCCTAAAAGGCACTAATTTGATTATATACAATAGGTACTTTTCCCTGATGTGTTAATGAATTCAGTCTATTCAGCAATATTTAGTGTCAAATTCACAATTACTTACAGTATAATTCAAATCAGGTTACTCTAAACAAGACCCATAAGCAAAGATTCTTACTACTCCTGATTTGGCTGTTTCTATTCTTACAGCTTTCATGCTGCTCCTATGTATCTTATTTGAATACATCCAAAAGTAGCAACAAGGGTTTCCAAGACAAACTCAATGCCAAGTGGTCCTAGTGGCAGAAGAGAGCTATCCCATTTTTTACCCTAACTGTAGTATACTTGATGACATTTTCAACAGCCACAAACATCATAAAAAGAAAACTACTTATATTCAGTTATTTAAATTTCAGTTCTTTGTCAAAGGAAAAGAATATTTCAATGATACTCACTCTCTTTTTTATTAGTGCTTTCCTTTTTAAACGTTTTTGCATGATTTCTTTTTCCAAAGATATAATCTGACTTGGAGTTAGAGCATCTTGAATTCTGTTTATCTCTTCTCTGTACGCCTGCCAGTCTGCCTTGTAAGCATCTTCATATATCTATAAATTTTTTAGAAACTCAGTAAGTCAATAAACTGTTGCTGGCAAATTACACAATGCACACCTGCCAGGAAAAGACAACTGCATGATTTCAGATAAAGACAGACTGAATACCCAAGTGGAAAATGTGAAGGACAAGTATAATAAGTGTAATAAACATTTAATGGGAATACCCAGGAGAGAAAGCAACAGAGTATTTGAATGGAAATCCCTGCAGAATCCTCATTTGTGGTCCCCTCCACTCTTAATATTGGCTGGGTGCATTGAGGACAAAGGGAAAGCAAACTTTAGCACTCATCCCTCCAAATACCATCCCTACATGGAGACTATATTTCTCATTCTTATAATCTTCTCTGGCTCCCTTTGATTAACTGCATCAGCAGCCTTAGATTACCACTGATGACTTAAAATTGGGAAATCCTCAGCCCTCAGGAAGGCTTAAGTCACTAGGCTTACACTAAAGGCTAGAATCTAATTTTTCAGAAAAATACTTTTACCTCTGATAACCATTTTCTATGCTGTATGTACTAGACCAGCAAGCTGATCATATCATCTAATATTGGTTATTTGGAAAAATGTAGTCTAACTTTCAAACATGGAATTTTTGAGGTTAGTATCCTTGAGCTAAGAAATACAAATTTTGAACCATGTGGGGTTTTTAATGAGGAAAAATAGGATTTTATCCTAAAAGGCACTAATTTGATTATATACAATAGGTACTTTTCCCTGATGTGTTAATGAATTCAGTCTATTCAGCAATATTTAGTGTCAAATTCACAATTACTTACAGTATAATTCAAATCAGGTTACTCTAAACAAGACCCATAAGCAAAGATTCTTACTACTCCTGATTTGGCTGTTTCTATTCTTACAGCTTTCATGCTGCTCCTATGTATCTTATTTGAATACATCCAAAAGTAGCAACAAGGGTTTCCAAGACAAACTCAATGCCAAGTGGTCCTAGTGGCAGAAGAGAGCTATCCCATTTTTTACCCTAACTGTAGTATACTTGATGACATTTTCAACAGCCACAAACATCATAAAAAGAAAACTACTTATATTCAGTTATTTAAATTTCAGTTCTTTGTCAAAGGAAAAGAATATTTCAATGATACTCACTCTCTTTTTTATTAGTGCTTTCCTTTTTAAACGTTTTTGCATGATTTCTTTTTCCAAAGATATAATCTGACTTGGAGTTAGAGCATCTTGAATTCTGTTTATCTCTTCTCTGTACGCCTGCCAGTCTGCCTTGTAAGCATCTTCATATATCTATAAATTTTTTAGAAACTCAGTAAGTCAATAAACTGTTGCTGGCAAATTACACAATGCACACCTGCCAGGAAAAGACAACTGCATGATTTCAGATAAAGACAGACTGAATACCCAAGTGGAAAATGTGCTCTGGGTTCACATTTCTATAAACTAAAAACATGTATTTCTCAAAACATGATAAGGTGAGGGCTTTCAAACTGCTGCCAACCCTTCATCGCCACCCCCCTACATCTATCACTTCTTCATTTACTTGGATCATAAGGTATGAAGTTCCTTTGTATATAACTGGGTCATCAGGCCCTTTAAAGGACAAAATCATCATTCTTAACTGAAGAATAAACTGGTCAGCATTGTTAAAAACCTATACGCTTACTTTTTTCTCTGCATCAGGAAGTTCCCTCCAAAGTTGGGCGATTTTTTTAATAAGTTCTTGATTTTTCATACCTATGGATTGGAATAAATTTTTTGAAATGCCACAATTTTACATCTCAGTATTAATTTCTAAGACTTCCAAGAAAGCATAACCCATTGGTTCTAAAGTAAGTTTTAATAGAGACACCTCTATACCATACACAACTCAATACAATGATTTAGGTTTTGATTAACTTAAATATGGTAAATAATACTTTATCCTGCATTGTTGAAGTCTGTTATCTAGTAATTAAGGAATAATCACATACCACCAAAATGGTCCTCAGAAATTAACTAGTAGTTTAAGCAGGTGGGTAATCAATTTCTTCATGTTTTACTTCATATTTCAATCAAAAATTTTTTTAAGTCAGGAATTGTAAGACCTAACTAAACAATAAAATATTCATATAATACCACTTTGTATTTCAATTATAGAAATATCTCCATTTGCAAACAATCAATTCATTATTCCCCATTTCCTTCCTTAACTGGAATGACAAGGTGTCAGTGCTTTAACAAACCACTTTCAACTGTAGTTTCAATCCCTACATTTTAAAAGATGTGAGTACTTAAGCATGTATTTTATATCAAGTCTTTGTAGCTGGGGAATTTTTATTATAGCTCATTTGATTTTTACAAGTGTCCTGTATGTGCTTTAAATAAGGGTAGCTGTTCTTTAGAAAATCGAACGTATTTAGTCATAGGCTTCTTTGGATAACTACTCACGGCGGATGAAAACCATCTTGGTACATACGAAACGCTACATATAAATAAAAAGAAAACCAAAGTCAAGAAATCAAGGTCCAACATTCACATGTATATGAACACAGATCCCAAATAAGGTGTCATCAAGATGCTCCACACCCGCCACCTTCAATAATAAAGCAAGTGACATTTACAATCCTGTCCTAACCAGCCTGCAAAACTGAAGCCGCACAAGAGTGGAGTGGAGGAAAAAGCACCTTTACTACAGCTCCTGGGCCCCGCCTCCTCAACGCCTACGGGATGGCGGGAGCCTCGGCGCGGCGACTCAGGGCGAGCCGCTGGAGCGCGCCAGGCTGGGGAGTCGGGGCCGAAGTGAGATGCTGCGTGGCCGGAAACAAGGCACGGGGATTACTGGACTACCGCCTGGTCTCAGCCACTATCTATCGAGGTCTGAATCAAAGGGCAAAATGGCCCTGTCCTCCTAGAAGGGACAGAAAGCGGAGGAAAGCGTCCGCACTCCAACACCCGGGTGTCCCGAGCCCTACTGCCTCCTGAGCGCCAGCAGGCGGTCCTACCCGAGCGGAAAGCGCACTCGATTTCCACAGTCCGCGCAAAGGTCCGCCCCAGACTTTCCCAGGGCGCTCAGCGCGCCCCACACGCCCCGCAGAAGCGCCATTGTGCGCGCCGATGAGGTAGCGGCCGGGCCTCAATCTTGTGGAGCTGCCCGGTGCACACAACACCCACAACAACGACGACTTGCAACCCGCGAACGACTCTCCAAACTCAGCTATCCAGACGGCCGCTCGCGAGGCACTTCGGGAAATGTGCTCACATCCGGCGGGTAGAACCCGGCGCGGCAAGGAAGAACTGGCGCAAGCGCCCTGGCGGCTTCCGAGTGGTCGGGACTGCGGAGGAGGGGGAGGAGCTCGGGGGAGGAGGGGCAGCCGCAGCCCGGCTGGTCTACGGAGGGCCCTGGCCTCGAGGGGGCGCTGCTGAGCCGCCTCTGCCCCAGGCCCCTCTCCCCCTCCGCGGTCTGTTCCTCAGCAGGGCCAGGAGGCTGATGGAGGTACGGTGGCGGTCTCACCCAGGCGTGCACTGGCCGGCGTCCCCCTGTGACGGCCGAAGGGCAGGTACGCAACAGACAGCTCTACCTGGGAGAACACGCAGCTCCCAGGTCAGGTCGGCGGGTGCTGCGCGCCCAGCAGAGGCCCGCAGTTCAGCCGGAGCTGGAGCTCAGTCCAAAAATACTGCGAGGTGGCTAGGGAGAGGGGGAAGGATGGTGTCAAACCTAAAAATGCAGATTCACGGGCCTGGCCACAGAGCCCGATTCACTGTGTCTGTGTGAGGCCCAGGAATCTGCGTTTTAAACAAGTTCCTCAAGGTGAAGTTCAATGCCAGTGATCACAGACCACATTTAAAGCGATACTGATGTAGACCTTCCTGTCATCCACTGCAACGATATATCATTAACTCAGTCAAGGAACATCCAACCCTGCTTCATATCTGGGGAGGAGGCTTTTGCTAGTTGTCCGAAGACTGGACTTCTAATCCCATCATTAACATTAACGTCTTGATTCAGGAATGCCGCATCCCCTAAGATTCAGTTTCCCCCACTGCAGATGAAGATGTTGGACTAGATCAAAATTTTCTCAACCAAAGCCCTGAGAACGTGTGACAAGAACACCTTGAGATACTGGTTGATGTGACGTACAGCCTTTTTCTATGTAGGGAATGACATGAAAGATTGGGAAGATTTAAGGGCCTTTCCAGCTTTTACATCCCAGTTATTTCAAACATAACCACCTCTTGAAACAGCCTTTCCTCTGTTGGATACTGTAATTGTTAGAAAATTCTTACTACACAGGACTAAATAAGCCCACATGTTTATAAGAAACTATCACCCCTTCCCTTGTTACAGACTCTCGGGGTTGAAAGAGACCTTCCAGGTCATCTGTTCTAACTTCCCAACTTATCATGGAAGAAATGGATTTTCTGAGTATATACTATGTACAAGGCCCCTAAATCTAGATAAAAAACACCATTTCCTTACCCCCGGTAAAGCCTAGTAGCAGAGGCAAAGAAATAAACAACTGTAATACAGTGCCAAGGTAGTGGTAAGTATAGGATACAATTTTTTGTAATTATGTTTTAGCTGATTTCTGAAATAATTTGTTTTCTCTATATTTTTCTGGAATGTTTTTGTTCCTTGAGATGTTTGATAAAAGTTAAACCTCTATCAAGTTTGATAACAAGTTTTGCTGATTCTGCCTTACTAGCCCCTCTGGTAAGTATTTCCTTCTCTCTAGCCCCATTACTATTGCTTTTGTCCAAGTCAGTAATGTGTTGGTAACATCAGCTCTCCAAAAAAGAGAGCCCTATTTTGTAGTGTTTGCTGAGATCTATGATGTAAAGTCCTACCATGGCTGATTTCAAACTACCAACTTTACATCACTGAACCGGAACTTGGGAAGAGACATGCATAATTGGCTCTCAAAGCCAGTGCCAGCCAGCTCCTATACACCACTGATTCAGGCTCTGCCATCTTTTCCTGAACTCTTGAAGTAGTTTTCCTACTTTCAGTCTTACTTTCCTCCATGCCATATTCCACAGTTACCAGATCAGTCTTTCTAAAAGCAAATCCCATTCATTCATTTGTTCTTTGAGTATGGATGGAGCACAAACCCTATGCCAGGCAGGCAATGATCACATTTCTATACGTGAAACATTAAATGGCTCCTGATTACTCCCAGAATCAAGTTTCAATTCTCATACATGGCATACAAGTCCTCCATGAACTGGTCTGTTTCCTCGATAGCTTCGTTTCTCACTTCATCTTTGCTTGAAATAATTTATTATTCAAATAATCTATTTTTTCTTCTGATTCAATAAATATGTCAAACCACTTCATTTGGCTCTGAGTTTACCATTGCATTTTGTGTGATATGCCAAAGTTATGGAAATTACTGGATAAGAATACAGGCTTAGAAGTTAGTTCTAGATGCAAATCTTGCTTTTGTTACGAGTGTTGTGCCCTTGCCAAATGACAATCTCTCTGACCCAGAGTTTTCCCCTCTGTGAAATGGGGGCAATAATGGTTGATTCTTAAGATTGTTGTGAAGATTAAATTAGCAAATGTATAAAAAAAGTTTTTAGCAGAGTCCCTGGCACATAGTAAAGGCTATAATATCCTTAGAGTATTCATAACAGTTATTATTATTTCCAAATAATTTATGGTATGAATTGTCCCCAAAGACAGATTTGCATCACAGCCCTATCTTTTCTTTTTTTGTCATTTCCCCTCCCTGTTAAAGACTAGATATTCATATATATGTATTACATACAAGCATTGCTTCTCTCTTCCTAGTCAACTTTTAACATTTCCTTAATTAGTGATGTTTAAGCATGAACACTGTGGTAGATAGTGAAAAACACCTTTAGGTTGAAATCTTACTTTAATGATTTTAGAATATTTTTATATAATTTTATTTGATTATATGATTCACAAATTGACTAAGTAGAGAATATTATGATCATGGTTCCCAAATTACAGATGAGAAAAATTAAGTTCAGAAAGCCCAAGTCATAAGGTTAGTCATTTATGAAGGTGAAAACTTCATAAGTCAGTCTTCCGACTTATTGTCTTGTGCTTTTCCATTATATCAGACCATCCCTCAGACTCAGTCAATTCATTATTCCAGCCAAAAAAAACCTTCCTTGGGTCGTCTATAGAGTGTGAGTTTGAATAATTTACGTGTGACATATTGAATACTACTCTTGTTCTTAATCTTTTTTGTAATGTGTATGTATTTTTTTTTTCTTCAGTAGTTGGTAAGCTACTTGAGGAGAAGGCTTTCTTAGCTTCTTTTTATCCTCTATAGTACTTAGCATAGTACACTGAGCATGACGGATGGGTAAAGGGAGAGACAGTGCAGAGAGAGATAAACAATGTGAAAAGATAAGTATCTGCATAAATTATTTACATTACAGATTTTGGCCTTGTAGAAAATAGCAACTACCTGTTAGAAGTGTCATTCACCAATAGAAGGAGCAGTTATATGTGGAGATGGGAACGATGTATATTTTGGAATATATGTTGAAAAAACATGGTCATGGTTTATTGGCACTTTCACATTGAAAAACTGAAGGTGACACCAATAAATAGCAGCAGTCACCAAGATAATTCTATTAAACCAAATACATAGATATCACTTGAAGAAAAAATACTCCTCAGAGAAAGCACTCTTACTTTTATAATTATAATGAATAAATAATTCAGTTATAATAGGAGCAATTGCCTAACAGGCTTAGCATGTATATCAAATATACATGGAAGGAATAGATGTGATTCTGACATAAGTTAAATACGGTTCTAGAAATAAGATTATACACCTAACAGGCTTAGCATGTATATCAAATATACATGGAAGGAATAGATGTGATTCTGACATAAGTTAAATACGGTTCTAGAAATAAGATTATACTATAAATACCACATCTAAAGACAATTTGCTCATCAGCAATTAAATGGTGCTATATATATATAACAATATTTAAGTAGTGTTATAACAGTGCCAGTTATAACAGGCACTGGAAGTGAAACAAAAAAATAGGACATTGTTCCTGTCCCAAAGAGTTTACACTCTGATTGGGAAAGTAAAGTATAAACATGGGAAATTACAAAAATTAATTCATTGTAGCAATAGAAGAAAAAAATTCTATCTCCTAGTTTATCTTCCCTGCTAATGAAAATTTTAATAAATTATACATGTAGACACTACATGTATAATTTTTTCTTTCAAAATATTTTCATTTACTTAGAGTCTATTATCACCTTACTGGAATTTGTCTTTAAAAAGTATACAAAAAGATGGAAAGGAGAGAAAATTAGAAAGATCTATGTATGTTAGTAATGCCCAAATTTCCAAATTAGTTTGTGAATTAGTTCTCTAGAACAAAGTCTGTGTGCAGTCTTAATTATTAAGAACATATCAGAGTTATTTTTAGCCATTACTTTAGTGGCATTAAGCAAAATAAATACAGCTTTTCTATTTTAAAGCTGATTCAATAAGTCACAGGAAGTAGGACAAGCAAAGAGGATAGCTATAATTTTATGCAAATTTATAAAATCCAAATTGACATTGCTGGATATTCCTGAGAGCAAACTAATAGAGTGGGGGAAATCCAGAATGATTATATTGAAGGAATAATGCTGTTAGTAAATAGGATAACCTACAGGGTTTGCCCTCACATTATTGTAAAACACCTGATCAAATGATAATTATCATTTATTGCTAAACTATGTGCCAAACATTTTAATATGTTATCTCCAGTCCTCTCATATCCTACATGGTAGAATTATTTCTCTTATACGGGTATGAAAACTGGTATTCAGAGAAAGAGATAGGAAGGATTATCTTCCTTACTGAATCTTGTTAAAAATGCCCACCTATGAAACATAGGTTGCAGCAAAGTATATTTGGCTCTATGTAAGCCCAGTAGAGGCAAATCAATCAGGAGGTTGCAGTAGTTTTTTTTCAACACTAGCTCACATTTTGTTTCTCACTCAGTCATTCAAAAACACTTAGGCTTGAATTTTTTAACATTATACCCATACATGTGTGTGTCTGCATAAAAAATGTGCAAAATAATGCACACAAAATTGGTTTTAATAGTGACTATCTCTGAGTATTGCAGCAGTGTGCAAATGGTACTCACTTTTTACTTTATATAGATCTATAGTTTTATAAATTTTTTCCAAAATACAACAGTAATATTCTTTTTTGTAATACTGTTAAAACTCAGTTTCTAGTAGAAGACAGTACTTTCTAGCTACTGCAATAAGTTCTA